AATAATCGATCAACTTTAATTTAACAAAACAAATTGAAAAAAAAAAAAATTGTGCCGCTTGGAGACGAATAAATAAATAAAAAAAAAAAAAAAAAAAAAAAATAGGGTTCGTCATGAAATATGAGATTTATTTGAAAATAAAGGCCTAAAATGTAGTTGAAAAATTTTTTCAAGTCACGACATAAATTGAAAGAATCATAAAAATTAAATAAATAATAAATTAAATTCAATAAAATTGTGTGAATTCTACTATAAATTTAAGCTATCTTTCACGACTGAAAAATTGTTTCCGTAAAATTGACAAAATTTTTTTAAAATGAAAAAAATGTTCCAACACGCACAATTCGTAAATTACTCGTCTGGTTTAGCTTATCTTCGAAGTTGATTTTCGTATTAATTCATAGAATAAGTTCACAAAATTTCATGTAGATCAGAGATTAGACGTGGATGCAATCCTGCTGACAAAAGGAGCGTTATACCACATGTATATCATACATAAAAACTTTTGGAGCGATACAATTTTTTGACAAAACAAGACATATCATAAAAATATTTTCTATCTAGAATTCTAAATAAATTTACATAAAAATAAATTTAATTATTTGTCAGACAAGTTTTTAACAAACATTCAATATATTTTCTATATATCACTTTATTTCAAGAAACATATGAAAATTGAAGGTACATAATTTATCGCATAAATTAGTTTATCATTTATTAATTAACAGATTTATGAAGTTAATTATGATAAAAGAACATAATTGAAGCAATGAATTCAAAAATTCAAGTACAAAAGTTTAAATATAATTTCTTTGAGATTAGCATTAGACGTCATAGTAAACAGTGACATTCCGCTGACAATCTTGTAATCTATATCCATGCTTCCGCCATCCAGGATTTTTTATCGGACTAAATTGTTTATCCAAAAATATTATCAATTCATTGAATCGGGGATAATTCTAAAAAAATGAATCATTAATGTCTGTGGAAAAAATTATCATAAAATCTAAAAAAAAAAAAAGAAGATATTTTACTAGATCTTTCCACCAATTTTTTCCCTCAGTACATCCAAGTTGAGCGTAATTTCCCCCCAAAACACCGGAAATAGCGTCAGATATTTCTTCAATCGAATAATCACCTCCAATAATTATATCTTTATCTTCTAAATTTTTACCGATACTGAATTTGTCATACAAGTCAATTGATTTCTTGAAAAATTTAAATTCGTCATCAAGCTCCGGGATTCTGAGACTGCAAGAGCCGCTAAATTTCCAAGTAAAATCAGACATTTGATACAATTTCCAATTGGGGCTGCTTCCCCACTTTTCGTCTATGCTACTTTGTATTGACGATATTTTTTCTTCATTAAAATCTACTGTGAAATTGTGACATGGATTTTTTTTATTATACAATTGGAACTTGAAATCTTCGATATACCATTTACAAGTATTTGGTATGCAGTTTGATTCATCACGAGAACATAGTCTCTCGATTAATTTAAGATAAAGTACGTAGAAGCCATCATCATTGTCACTGTAGTCACTGAAATTTACAAAAACATTATAAATAAAAGTTAGATTGTAATTTAAATTATATCTCATTGATTTGGAATAATACTATGATGGAAAATAATGTCAGTAAGGTAAAGTACCCAGTAGTTGAACAGGTTTCAAAGTAAAACGTATTTGACCCTACTTTTAATATATAAAGATGTAATTATTAGTTCAAATTAATGATTTTCATGAAAATATAAACAATTTTGAATTGATTGAAGTGCAAAATAACGCAAATAATTGCATATTTATAATTTGACAACGTTTTTAAGATAGACTATGAAAGGAGTATAGTAATTGAACAATAAATTCTGACAAGTCTTAGTAGTTTTGAACACTCCGGGCGCAGTAGTTGAACTAATAAAATATATGGCAATAGGCACACCAAAAATTTTTAGCGTTTTATTGAAATATTCAAAGATTTATAACATATTATTGAATAATATTAAAAATAATACTGTGGATATTTAATATGTTGATTTAAAAATGAGAAACATTTGTATTTGATTTTTTAATTACATTTTTTATAAATGACAAAGTAAATTTTCAATTAAAAATCAAAAAAACTCAATTCAAAACGTTCAATAATTTTTAACTATACTAATTTTTAGTTATAAAACTTATTTAATTTGCAGTAATTAATACAAATCACAATACTGATCACTAGTCTGTAAACCTATTAAAGATTAGAGTGCTGTTAAAATTATATGGTCCCAGCTTGTTCAAGTTCTGGGTACCGCTTTGAAAATTGGGAGGTATAGTTGAACGCTAAAATTTAATATAAAAAACTATAGTTTATGTTTTTGCAAAAAATATGTATTATTTAGAAAAGACTATTTCATTGGGTGGTACAATTTTTTTCACTTAAAATGATGATATACCGTTTTTTTTACTGATTGTTCGGTTCACGGTTTAGTACCTTTTTCATGAAAAAAATAGCATCTATCGGTTATTCTCGACATGTCAATTTTAAAGTTAACAAAAATGTAATTGTTTTGATTTATAATTGAAAAAACTTATCAAAATCAATTACTGTATCATTGAATAATTATAACATGTACATATTACTCATAATATATACACAGATAATATTGCACGCCTCATAGCGCGAAGCGCGTGAGGTTGTGCTTTACACTCGACTCGTTAATGTCAAGCAATTTTGCGATCTTTAAATGCCTGTATCACAACCATATTACACTTATACAATAATTAAAGTATATGTACACCGAGAAAACACTTAAATTAAGCCATATTTCACTTTTTAAAATCATTTCATGTTGTTATTTTGAAAAAAAAAAACGTTTCAAAAAAAATTTTACGTAGACGTCCGGATGTCACCCCATTTTGTACCAACGATTACTCCCGAACGAATTGATATTTCGAGACGGGGTTTTGATTATTAGTTCAAGATTGCGATAAACTGGGTCCGTATTTCATTTCAGTAGCCTAACTTACGTATTTTTTCTTTAAATTGACTTTTATTAAAATTCACTATGACATACACGCACAGAAAGAAAAACGAACTTTTTCTTTTTTCTTTATTTTACTCATGTGAAAACGATGGCGCCACTTAATCCAGTTAAAATGAAGTAAAGCAGTTCATTTTTTTTTTTTTTGGTACTTCTGTGCATAACGAGTATATACGAAATTTAATAAAATAATAATAATAATAAAAAAAAAAAAAAAAAATTGAATTAAAAAATGTTTGCTAACTGTGACATACCAGACTTCCATGCTTTTTTGTATTTACCGAAACATA